CTTCTGAAGAACCTGTTTCACATGATAGTGATGTTCAGCCAGGTTCCTGGAGAAGATGAGGTCGTTGATGTACACAATTTGTACATCTGTGACATTTAATATTTTGGCTTTCATCACTTTTTATGTTTGTCCTTCTTCAGATAAAATATTAACAAAATAAAAAAATTGAGGTGGGGAAGTTGCTGAAATGTAGTTGCTTTGACACGGAATGACCCTTGAGAGGTTTTGTTCATACAATTTAAGTCAACGGAAATCAAATATTTACTAAATATCTTGTCTTTTATGTGACCTTTAATTTAAGATGTGCCTAAAGCAAATGCTCATTTATTTTCTGTTTTGAAGATCCACATAGGAGACAATATTTGGATTAGAGAAGAGGTGTGAAGGAAAATTACGTCAACCAAAAAGGATTCTCTCTTCGTAAAAGAGATGGCCGTGGCATTGTGGGGGACAGCCACTTTAAAAGAAGAAGTGTGTCAGGAAAGGCGTGTCCCACAAACAGAAATTCACAAAAGCCTCCCCTGACACGCTCCAAGTTGCAAGTTTTGACAGCTAATCTAATTTCTCTATTAATTCATGCATGCACTGTATGTAACCATTAACCACCACCAATTTTGTTAAAAACAGTTGAAAAATTGTTCATGCTCAAGATATTCTCATTCATATTCATCCATTTAAACTCATTTATCAGTCAATAAAATATCTAGAACATAATTAAACACATAATTTCATTGCTATGTCTGAAAAAAGCAAAATGTGCAACAAAGACATGATACTTGCCTTTTTAAGTGGTTTTACTAGTTGAAAATTCACAAATTAATAATCTAAATTATGTCTTTTTCAAGTCTGTTTCAAAATGTGCAACAAAGACATGATACTTGCCTTTTTAAGTAGTTTTACTAGTTGAAAATTCACAAATTAATAATTTAAATTATGTCTCTTTCAAGTCTGTTTCAGTGACTGGCTGAAACAAAAGGAGCCTGAAAGAGGAGAGAGAGAGAAGAGGGAGAAACAAGTGGGATATTACATATCCCAAAAAATACAAGACATCATAAAAAAAGAAAGGAAATATGAAAATGTATAATATGTCTATAATTATGTTATTGTTCACCTTCAGTTAATTGTTGATATAGTTTTTTTTTGCATTTTAATTGTTCCAATAATTTTGTAAATATTTGTTAGAATATCAATGTTTTTTTTTAAAGTCCCTGCACGATCAAATAAAAAATAGTTTGAATGGTTGCTTGTGGACCTGCAGATTATTAAAAGTAAAATTGGAATTATTTACATTGTCACAACACCCACTGACAGGAAAATTAGGGCAAACCCTATGTGATCAATCAATCAATCAGTCAGTCAAAATCAATCAATTTGTCCCGCTAAGACTAGCCAGCCTGACCAGCTAAGATCAGCCTGACCAGCTTAAACCAGCTAAGACCAGCCAGCCTGACCAGCTTAAACCAGCTAAGACCAGCCAGCCTGACCAGCTAAGACCAGCCTGACCAGCTTAAACCAGCTAAGACCAGCCAGCCTGACCAGCTAAGACCATCTTAAACCAGCTAAGACCAGCTTGACCAGCTTAAACCAGCTAAAACCAGCCTGACCAGCTTAAACCAGCTAAGACCAGCCAGCCTGACAACCTAAGACCAGCCTGACCAGCTTAAACCAGCCAGCCTGACCAGCTAAAAAGGTGGTCAAAACCCCTCTAAAACCAGCCTCATAAACCAGCTATGACCAGGCTGGGAGACCAGCTAAAACCAGCCTGACCAGCTTAGGCTGGTTTTAGCTGTTTTTTTAGCAGGGTTGAGATAGGTAGAGGTCTTAGCCCGCTTCCACACTTCATTTCTCATCATACGTGAAGTGAACTGAAGGATAATGGGTCATGGATGGGAATCGGCCGTGCTTTTCTGGCCCAGCCGATGTACAATGTCAATTGTTTCCGAGAGCCGCAATGATTCTTCAGGCGAGACTGATTGACAGATCTTCACGGTCTGCAGATGCACGTTTTCATCCTTATTCTCCGGGACACCGTACAATCTCAAATTCCATCGTCTCGAATAGGATTCAAACTCATCCATTCGTGTGTTCAAGCATTTTAACTGGCTTTTCTAATTCTAACACACGACCCTCCACTTTACGTATCTTGCTTTTGATCTCTTTGATATCGGCAAAAGCAATATCAATCTTCCTGCTCAGCTCATCAATTCTATCCATGTTGCCGCTCACCAATTTTTAGATGCTATCAGATCTTTCGTTGATAAGCTGAGACAACGTGCCAATGATGTCAGAATCAGAAGCAGTCTTAACGGACTTAGTTGTTTTCTTTTTCGCCAGAGGTGATTCACTGTAGGTCACCAGTAGTGCTGGGAATTCCTTCTCATCCAGTATCAGCATTTCCAAATCTTCTCCTTCAGAACAACACTGACTGTAATCGTGATCGCTGCTAAGTAGCACTTTGTCAGCAGAGATGTCCTGATTAAATGATGGATACAAATTTCGATTTTGTTTCCTTTCAGACATTCCAAAGTGATATAAAGATCAAAGATGATGATAGGTCAAAAATCGTGAGTTTTTAACCAAATTGGACTAGCTTATTTAACTTTTGTGATGAAGAGCTCAGTAAACGCGTCACTTCACGTGGCCATCTTGGCAGCCTCCCATAAAATACTTGTTCTGCTGAAGGTTTGAACAAGGTTTGGATACGTGACATTCTGAAACTGTTGCTTGTACTTCACATAGTGTGATGGTGTGTTGATTGTTTTTAGTTTTAGTCTAGTTTTAGACGACTAAATATCATAAGATTTTAGTCGACTAAATCTACAGTAAATTTACTCAGCTAAACCTAATGGGTTTAGTTACAGTGCATTTATTAAGCATTTCTCTCAAAAGAGTACTCACGCACGCGCTGTGAGACGTGCTTTCTGTGTGTGTATGCTTCAGTGTCTGCACTCAGAAAGCCAGACCAAATTGAGTTCTCTCTTGCATCATCAGATTTATCCATATGTCTGCTCTTCTCTTACTCCCACATATTGACATTTTTGAATGTTTTATGTGACATGCAGCAAGTGTATGTCATTCAAAAAGAGTTTTAGTTCGTTATTGTCTCGTTGTTGTCGGTGGAAAAAAATGTGTTGACCCCGTCGTTGAAAATTATGACGAAAATGATTTGTCAACGAAATTAACAATGCTTACGTCAGTCAAAGGGTCTTATGTACAGAGACATGTTTCTCATGAGACAGACACAGAACTTACTAAAACAAATTTAACCATTATCCGTCCCTCCCGAACCTATAACAAAAGTGTCCCTCGTGGGTCAAAATGACCCGAAGGCTAAAAATGACACAAATTTGTTTTTGGTCCAGAAATCTTTTATTGATCCTTTTTATATATAGTTTTTTTCTAAATATTTATGTAGGTTTTTCTATTATTTTTTGGTGATTTTTATTATATTTACCTTTTATTCTGGATATTTTTAAGAAAATATAAGCAAATAAGCAGTTTTTATACATTTGCATATTGATTTATTACAGTAAACGGACAACCTTCAGAGAATTCCTCATCTGACGGTGACTTTTCTTGTTCTGTTGATTTCACAGGTTCCTCTTGAGCTTTAGACCAAGGTAACCACCCACTAATGTAGTTCCAGAGCGATTGTTCTTTCTCCAGGCTGTAAGGAGGAATCAGAAGAGAACAACAGTGTTCAGTGGAACAAGTTGAACATTACTAACTAATTTTAATTAGTACAAAGTAGACTGTAACAAAATATTTGTTTGTTTTAAATATAATACATTTAAAAGCAATTACACTATGTTTTTCTGTTGGTGTTAGCATGACTGCGACAGAAGGATGTTTACTCACCTCAGTTTACAGTTGGAGTTTTGTAGCACGTCACTGAGCTTGTTCTTTGAGTCTCCTATTTTATTGTTACTCAGATCAAGCTCTTTTAAAAACTGCAGTGCTTTTGTTTCAGCCAAAGACTGAGCCAAACAAGCAACATCTGTAATGCCACAGTCATTTAGACTAGAAAAAAAAACAGACAGAGGAAGAAAAATTATTTCCCCTTTAACCCAGAGTGTGATATTAACCCAGAGGGCACAGTCATGTTTGTCATTTCTTAGCATCATTTTGTAGGCAAAATCACAGTCACTTCAATGTAATAAATGTAATAAAACGGCAGCTCGTTAATAAACGTTTTTTTTTTTTAATCCATTTTATACAATCCGCCTTCATTGAGCAAGTGCACTCACGCATAAACAATTTTCAAGTTCAACACTTTTTGTTCCGTTCAGTTGTGGATGCTGCTGATTCACCGAGAGCAAAGAGACATGCATAGAGCAGAGTAAACTTTATATTTACCTACACGATCTGTATATGATATCAATAAAAACATGTCAGATTATATTTGTAAGGATCATTATTGCCGTTTCCATAAACATCAGCGTGCATTTTACAAACTGTAAATGTATGGTTTTGCTAGTACTTGTGTATTTAAATGTCTGAAACCTAAAATAAGTATTATATGGTTGAAAACAATGAATATTTGTGATAATATGACAAGCGCTCAGAGCGTCTGATCTGGCTCTGCGCCAGCCAGAGCGCGAAAGCGGATTTAAATTCAGCAGTTAATGACGTGACGCACTGAAAGTTCTAATCACACCGGTGTGATCGTACGCTTCAGGGACCAGCCAAGACTGATCACACCGGTGTGATCGTACGCGTCAAAGGGTTAAGTTTGAATAGTCAATGTTCCTTTGACACATTCTAAAGTGATTGTTCAAAATAAAATTTTCTTGATGTCTTTTATAACAAGGTGCATTTTTTATAGATAATGTATACCTTATTAATAAAAAAAATATATAAAAATAAATAAATAAAGCATTTTTATGTAAAGTTAAATTTAAACAATACATTGTTATTCATTTATTTTGTAAAGATTATCAAACAAATAACACTAGTAACACTTCATTTTTAGTTGAACTCAATTCTGTCTATCACACAACTTACCTCAGTATCTCTAATTTACATTTTACACTCTTCAGTCCAGTACAGAGCAGCTTCACTCCTGAATCCTGCAGATTATTATTGTTCAGGTTCAGCTCTTTCAGATTGGTATCTGATCCAAGAACTGTAGCCAGAGCTGAACAGCTTTTGTCTGTTAAGTTACATTTATTTAGCCTACATGGAAAATTTATCACATCACATAATTAGACAATGCATAATGCAAATATTAAATATATTATTTTTACATGAAATACTTATACAAACATAGAGGGTGCAATGTGTACTACACTAATATTCAAAAAACAATATTTTCTGTATATATGTATTTTGGATTAATTGGCCAATTTTACAAATCAGATTGAACATAAATGTTATAACAAAGCTTGCTTAAATATTTATGGAATATTATATTGCATTGCTTAAGGTTCACAGCTTTACAGTAATAACTTTTATACATTTTGTTGTACATTTGAAAAAGAAAATGTTTTAAATACTAAAATATATTATACATTATAAATTAAAATAGCTTTATATAGTAAATATGTTAAACAAAACAAAATGCTATTATTAAAATAAAACAGTGGTTCACTGAACCCACCTGAGTTTCTGCAGTGTGCAGTTTGTATCTTCTAATCCGTTCTGGAGTTTCTTCACTCCTGAATCCTGCAGATTATTGTTGCTCATGTCAAGCTCTTTCAGACTGGAGTTTGATCTCAGGACTGTAGCAAGAACTGAACAGCTTTCCTCTGTTAGACCACACTTACGCAGACTAAAATGTTGAACAGTAGAGGAAGGATTTACAAACACACGTACTTGCTACCAACATTCAGTGAGTACTGAGAATTACTGTAAATGTGGATTCTGTAGGGTTCACTTCATTTAAGATACTTCAATTGCACAATATGAAAATTTAAAACCATACTCACTGAATTGTGTCTAATTTACAGTGTTTATCCTGCAGTAGAGCAGCGATCTGATTCACTCGTGTGCCTCCTAGTTCACGTTCACTCAGATTCAGTTCTCTCAGGAGTAACGGGTTTTTACCCACAATTCCTTTCACATACTGACAGGCTTTCTCTGCAGCAGGACCCAAAAACCTATAGACAGTGAGTGCATTGACATTACCTGCCATATTTTGATCTATTTTCAAAAGCTTGTGAAAGGGCCTTTAATCATTTCAATGCTTTTATAAATATCTTTTAAATGGTTTAATTCTGTTTTAGCTAAATATTTTTAATTTCTGCATTTTGTTATTTTATAAACCACTCACCTCAGTGTTGTTTTCAGTGGATTCCATCGACTATGTTGTAAATCATCGAGCTGCTTCACTCCTGATTGTCCAGGATCATTTCCTGTGAGATCCAGCTCTATCAGGTGTGAAGGGTTTGATCTCAGAGCTGAAGCCAGAGCTTTATAACCTTCTTCAGTGATACTGCAGTCTGAAAGTCTACAAAAAAAATAAAATAATTGCATTGCAGCTCAAAATAATTACTGCACAATAGTCTGAAACATAAAATGACAAAATTACACAAAATCCAATCTTATAAAATATAGAGATAAACATATACAGGTTACCCACTTATTTATTTATTTATTTTTTAGCACTTATTACCAGGGCTCGAATTGAAGGGGGATGCGGGGCGATGGCATCCCCCTGGTAGAAAAAATGACAAAAAGCATCCCCTGAGTAAAACCACCATCCCCCTGACCATCCACCATGCCTAAATAGTATTGAAAATGACTAATATCACATAGAATTTAGGATGGGATAGTATGCACATTGGGACACAGGCTTGTTTAGTTTCTAATTGAATCAGCCGTTTTGAACAAATTGTTTGATTTGAACAATTCAATAAATCATTTATCAAAACAAGGGCTTGCTGCCACCTACTGGTTGTTTTATTGTCATCATTATTTATCCATGACAGGCCTAAACCAGGCAAGGTTTCAGCACAAAAACACATTTAGCAAAATACTGTTTAATTATCATTGGCCAAAATTCCTCAATTTTTAGGCCCAAGAAGAGGAAAAAAAGCTTATAAATAATAGTTCATTTAATAAGGCTAATTTTTCATTAAATAAAATTTTTTTTTAAAAATTTGACAAATTTTGTAATCATTACCTAAAATTAGCTACAGGAGCTACATACCACAAAGGCATACCAAGGTTGTTGCCATAGAAATGCACTGCAGATATTCCGTATAACAAATGAGCACCATGAGAAACACACATTCAGATCTGAACAGTTGCAATACACAGCGCAGACAGTCAATCATTCAGATCAGATTCCAGTCGGATAGACAAACAATCAGATTTGGGCTAACAATGTGAACAAAGCCTATGTGAGCTGATTAATTATAATTAATCAGTCAGCAAGAGTCTGTGATTTTTACATCTGTGTGGTTTGTGTTTTCTAAATAGCTTCCTAAATGTGGGAAAATTTTATTGTGATCCAGTGTTGTTATAGTTCTGATTTTCTTACTTTTTATTAGTATTATATATATTTAAAAAAAAATAGATAAAATAGGGGAAAAAAGGGTAATTGTAATATCTGGACTGTAAACATCCAGTTTACAGTCATTTACAAGGGTTAATTTATCTAAAACTCTACATGGGTGAAAGTCTTTCACCTGAATGATACAAAACATACAAGTGACCACAAAATGGCGAAAAACAAGAAAATGAAAGTTTTGAAATGACCTAATAAAGGTCCACACTTAAACCCCATCGAAATGCTGTGGTAGGACCTGGAATATACAGTTCATGTTGGAAAGTCTACAAATTCCACTGAGCTAAAGCAGTTCTGCCCTCCTTTCTGTGGCAGACTAACCAGCTCCAAGTTAACAGATGGATCTGAATTCGGACTCAACACGAGATTGTCACAAAACTTACCTCAGTATCTCTAATTTGCAATTTACACTCTTCAGTCCAGTGCAGAGTTTCTTCACTCCTGAATCCTGCAGATTATTGTTGCTCATGTCAAGCTCTTTCAGACTGGAGTTTGATCTCAGGACTGTAGCAAGAACTGAACAGCTTTCCTCTGTTAGACCACACTTACGCAGACTAAAATGTTGAACAGTAGAGGAAGGATTTACAAACACACGTACTTGCTACCAACATTCAGTGAGTACTGAGAATTACTGTAAATGTGGATTCTGTAGGGTTCACTTCATTTAAGATACTTCAATTGCACAATATGAAAATTTAAAACCATACTCACTGAATTGTGTCTAATTTACAGTGTTTATCCTGCAGTAGAGCAGCGATCTGATTCACTCGTGTGTCTCCTAGTTCATGTTCACTCAGATTCAGCTCTCTCAGGAGTAACGGGTTTTTACCCACAATTCCTTTCACATACTGACAGGCTTTCTCTGCAGCAGGACCCAAAAACCTATAGACAGTGAGTGCATTGACATTACCTGCCATATTTTGATCTATTTTCAAAAGCTTGTGAAAGGGCCTTTAATCATTTCAATGCTTTTATAAATATCTTTTAAATGGTTTAATTCTGTTTTAGCTAAATATTTTTAATTTCTGCATTTTGTTATTTTATAAACCACTCACCTCAGTGTTGTTTTCAGTGGATTCCATCGACTATGTTGTAAATCATCGAGCTGCTTCACTCCTGATTGTCCAGGATCATTTCCTGTGAGATCCAGCTCTATCAGGTGTGAAGGGTTTGATCTCAGAGCTGAAGCCAGAGCTTTATAACCTTCTTCAGTGATACTGCAGTCTGAAAGTCTACAAAAAAAATAAAATAATTGCATTGCAGCTCAAAATAATTACTGCACAATAGTCTGAAACATAAAATGACAAAATTACACAAAATCCAATCTTATAAAATATAGAGATAAACATATACAGGTTACCCACTTATTTATTTATTTATTTTTTAGCACTTATTACCAGGGCTCGAATTGAAGGGGGATGCGGGGCGATGGCATCCCCCTGGTAGAAAAAATGACAAAAAGCATCCCCTGAGTAAAACCACCATCCCCCTGACCATCCACCATGCCTAAATAGTATTGAAAATGACTAATATCACATAGAATTTAGGATGGGATAGTATGCACATTGGGACGCAGGCTTGTTTAGTTTCTAATTGAATCAGCCGTTTTGAACAAATTGTTTGATTTGAACAATTCAATAAATCATTTATCAAAACAAGGGCTTGCTGCCACCTACTGGTTGTTTTATTGTCATCATTATTTATCCATGACAGGCCTAAACCAGGCAAGGTTTCAGCACAAAAACACATTTAGCAAAATACTGTTTAATTATCATTGGCCAAAATTCCTCAATTTTTAGGCCCAAGAAGAGGAAAAAAAGCTTATAAATAATAGTTCATTTAATAAGGCTAATTTTTCATTAAATAAAATTTTTTTTTAAAAATTTGACAAATTTTGTAATCATTACCTAAAATTAGCTACAGGAGCTACATACCACAAAGGCATACCAAGGTTGTTGCCATAGAAATGCACTGCAGATATTCCGTATAACAAATGAGCACCATGAGAAACACACATTCAGATCTGAACAGTTGCAATACACAGCGCAGACAGTCAATCATTCAGATCAGATTCCAGTCGGATAGACAAACAATCAGATTTGGGCTAACAATGTGAACAAAGCCTATGTGAGCTGATTAATTATAATTAATCAGTCAGCAAGAGTCTGTGATTTTTACATCTGTGTGGTTTGTGTTTTCTAAATAGCTTCCTAAATGTGGGAAAATTTTATTGTGATCCAGTGTTGTTATAGTTCTGATTTTCTTACTTTTTATTAGTATTATATATATTTTAAAAAAATAGATAAAATAGGGGAAAAAAGGGTAATTTTTTATTTCCACTTTGGTAGGTGAACACTTTCAATATAAAATAATGCTGTGGTGTTGAGTGTAGCTGCTGGTGAAATGTACTCACTTCAGTATCTTCAGCTTAGATTTCTTCAGTCCCTCACAGATCTCTTTGACTCCTGAGTCCAGCAGACGACTGTTGTTCAGGTTCATCTCTTTCAGGATGGTTTTGGAGGAGAGAACAGTAGCTAGAACTGAACAGCTTTTCTCTGTCCGCTCACAATCATTCAGCCTAAACACAAACAGCATTATTTATTATTCAGCACATATTCAACACACAACAGATCAACAGCTCTTCATATCTGCTCACACATGTGACCGTCTAGCACTTCAGATGCAGTTGCAGATCCAACATCACAAAACTGCATTACCAAAATAGCTCCCCAAGAACTACTGAATTAATTCAGTGCTGTAAGACAGGAGGAGCTAACTAAATTGATCACTGCATTAAAACCATCAATATTTGTACTAGATCCCATTCCTCTAAAGTAAACAGAATAGAAAATAATGCATGGACAAGCATTAAGATGGTTCAGATCTTATTGGCCTGACTGTTACCATATTGTTTGTGTCAATAAGGAACAGTCAGACAACTACAGATAACAACTAACTCTAATATGGAGTCCTGCAAAGATGTGTGTGTAAGGTCCTTTTCTGCTTTCATTGGAAATATTATTAAAAAACATGGAATTACTTTAGATGGTTATGCTGACGACACTCATCTCTATATTTCCTCTAGACCAGATAATATTTCTAAATTACACACGTTAAATGAATGTATTAAAGACTTTAAGGGTGGGTCGCATTGACAAGTAAGCATCTTAAATCAAGATTATATCTGGGTTTATCTGATTATTCTGTTACATAAAACTTTAAACATTGTTTTTGATCTTGGTTTTACTTATATTATGTTTCACACACAAAAACGTTGCAGGGCTATACTAAATATAACTTCACCTTAAAAAAGAAGCTATGTCCAAAATCATGTTGACTCACTTTATTTTCTCCACTTTGCTGTGAGAGTCCATCAAAAGAGCAGAGAGTTTCTCTCCACCCAGAACTCCTAATTCAATTCTGCTCAGATCCAGTTCTTTCAGTAGTAATGGATTTGTACCCAAAACTTTAGTGAGATGATCACATGCTTCCTCTGCAGCAGGACTTTTCAAAAACCTACAAAAGTAGAATATACTGAATATCTTTTGCTATTCCTAACCTCCTTATGGGTCCAGTGGTTAAAGTCATAGTTACGTAATTGCTTAAAAAAGTAAAAGTTACACTGAGGAAGAAATACATTATACAAATAAGATATTTGCCATTTGTTGAAGTGATTTATGATGTTTTATGCTATTTTTGAATCATTCTCATTCTGCACTGGCCCATTTGTGCACTCTACGTTGTTGCACACACTTGACTTCATATCTGTGGCTTATTTAAACATTTGAAAGCATTTCTCACCTGATGTTCTTTAATGTATACTGCTCATTCTTTAGGAAATCAAGGATCTGCTGCACTCCTGATTGTCCAGGATCATTTCCTGTGAGATCCAGCTCTATCAGATATGAGTTTGATCTCAGAGCTGAAGTCAATGTTTCATAACTTTCTCCAGTGATACTGCATTCTGAAAGTCTGTATAAGAGGGAAAAAGCTCGTAACAAAGTACTCCATGTTCTACACCAAATAAAATGTAGAGTGAAATGACATTATTTTAACATTTATTAAAAAAAAATATTTAGATTAATGTTGCCATATAAAGTGACAAAAACACAATTTTCATTACCAGCAAAAATATCATATTAATGCAATAAATGCCAGTAAATTTAATCTGAATTTCTAAATATTTTATGCAATTTTTAAAGCTAATGATGCAAGTGATAATTTTTTTAACTGAATTTAAAATGCAATTTCAGCCTTCATGCTCTTTTTTTTAGTAACCTAATCAAATAGACTTTTACCATGTATATTAACATTCAGAAATGTACATGAATGAAAATACAACCTTAGTTTCTCCAATCTGAATTGTGGATTGTTCAACAGATGACAGATCTTCTCTATTCCTGTGTTTCGTAGTTTATTTCCACTCAGATCCAGCTCTTTTAGGTTTGACGGATTTGAATAAATTGCTGAAGTCAGAGCAGCACAACCTTCTGCTGTAATATTGTTATTATTCAACCTGCACAGAAAAAAAGACAGGAAAAACTATTCTGTTTTATATTAAAACATTATTTTAAATGAACAGCAATGAGAGTCTTAATACAAACAAGTTAGTGACAATCAATCTTATATTTTTATTATATTTAATTATATTTAATATGTAAGTATATTTAATGAGTATGAAACCATGAGAAATACTCACATCAGTGTGTTGAGTTTACAGTGTTTATCCTGCAGTAGAGCAGAGATCTGATTCACTCGTGTGTCTCCTAGTTCATGTAAACTCAGATTCAGTTCTCTCAGGAGTAACGGGTTTTTACCCACAATTCTAGTCACAAACTGACAGGCTTCATCTGCAGCAGCACCCAAAAACCTGCAGAAGGAAGTTGAATCATGGTTTAATTCAGTTCTCACCTTTATATTGTATAATGGAAAACACAGATGATATCACATAAAACCCCTGCAGTAAGTTATTTTTTAAAATCTTGAAATCACTGTTAACTCTGATGCAACAACAGGCTGCATTACTGAAATTATTCTATAAATAATTAGCTTGTATATCATGTGTGTATTATTTCACAATTGTGTATTATTTATTTCAGCCTTATTTCATCATGTCTCACCTCAGTGTCTTCAGTGAATAGTTTGGATCCTGTAGTAAATCACTGAGCTGCTTCACTCCTGATTGTCCAGGATCATTTCCTGTGAGATCCAGCTCTATCAGGTGTGAAGGGTTTGATCTCAGAGCTGAAGCCAGAGCTTTATAACCTTCTTCTGTGATACTGCAGTTTGAAAGTCTGGAACAGAAATAAAAATGTATGAAAAAATATATATTTTCAAACACAAATCCACAACAGTCTTTTACAAGACCATTTATTATGATAGACATCAACTCACCTGAGTTTCTCCAGTTTACAGTTCTCTTTCAGTCCATCAGAAAGCGGCTTCACTCCTGAATCCTGCAGATTATTATTGCTCAGATCAAGTTCCTTCAGACTGCTGGAGTCTGAACCGAGAACTGAAGCAAGCGCTGAATAGCTTTCCTCTGTTAGTGCACAGTTACTGAGCCTGAAAATAATATAAATACATTAAAGAAGATACTTGGAAAAAGTACCTTTAATCATGCTTCTTTTACATAGAATTTTGAACATCAAATGTATAAAACTCCTGTGATTTCTGTGGTGTTGAGTGTAGCTGATGGTGTAATGTACTCACTTGAGTATCTTCAGCTCACACACAGGATTCTTCAGTCCCTCACAGATCTCTTTGACTCCTGAGTCCAGCAGACGGCTGTTGTTCAGGTTCATCTCTTTCAGGATGGTTTTGGTGGAAAGAACAGTAGCTAGAACTGAACAGCTTTTCTCTGTCAGCTCACAATCATTCAGCCTAAACACAAAAACAGCATTATTTATTATTCAACAGATATTCAACACACAACAGATCAGCAGCTCTTCATATCTGCTCACACTTCACTGACAGTCTTTAATAATAAATAAACATTAGCTATAATGTATAAAATCATGTTGACTCACTTCATTGTCTCCAGTTTGCTATGAGAGTCCATCAAAAGAGCAGAGAGCTTCTCTCCATCCAGGTTTCCTAATTTATCTTCACTCAGATCCAGTTCTTTCAGTACTAATGGACTTTTACCCAGAACTTGAGTGAGATACTCACATGCTTCCTGTGCAGCAGGACTTTTCAAAAACCTACAGGAAGTAGAAGAGAATTTTATATTAGATATTTTTGATAAAATGCTATGTCTTTTGCAGCTCCCTTCTACCTGTGAAGACCAGTGTTGCAGACAATCAGTAATTAGACTGTCATTTTAGTATTATGTCATCAGGTCTCACCTCAGTATTAGTTTACAGTTTGGATCCTGTAGTACATCAAGAAGCTCCTTTACTCCTGATGGTCCAGGATCATTTCCTGTGAGATCCAGCTCTATCAGGTGTGAAGGGTTTGATCTCAGAGCTGAAGCCAGAGCTTTATAACCATCTTCTGTAATGCTGCAGTCTGACAATCTATGAAACAAAATATCAAGTATATATATCAAGCTTATCAAGTGCCGGCCTTATAAATAACTTCTGACAAACTACTACTTGAAACTACATGAACTAAATCACATTTACATATTTAAAATTCAGTTTCAGTAATTAGTACAATATTTTAAAATAGAGATAAAAGTACAGATAGTTAGACTGTGATGAAAATAGCAAATTTAAGCATCTGTGATCTTTATTTTTCAGCTAATCTAATCAAATGGACATTTCCAAATGTGTATTAACATGCTGAGATGTACTGTAAACAAATGAAAATACACACTCAAGTTTCTTCAATCTGCATTGTGTATTTTCCAAAAGAGGACAGATCTTCTTTGTTCCAGAGTTTCCAAGTTTATTTCCACTCAGATCCAGCTCTATCAGGTTTGAAGGATTTGAATTAAATGCTGAAGTCAGAGCAGCACAACCTTCTTCTGTAATACTTTAATTTGAATGCTGATGTCAGAGCAGAACAACCTTCTTCTGTAATACTGTTATTATTCAGCCTGCAGAGAAAGAAAACAAAGACAGGAAACATTATTCAGTTAATTTCAACCACAGCACACAACTACAAAACAGAAGAATATATATATATATATATATATATATATATATATATCTACGTGATGGCTCAACTAACCTTAGCTGTCAAGTACTTTAAAAAACAGCTATGACTGCATTGTAATAGACTATAAAAATATCTACAGATTGTTTGCATATAAAACAATGTAAAATACTCACATCAGTGTGTTGAGTTTACAGTGTTTATCCTGCAGTAGAGCAGAGATCTGATTCACTCGTGTGTCTCCTAGTTCACGTTCACTCAGATTCAGCTCTTTCAGGAGTAACGGGTTTTTACCCACAATTCCTTTCACAAATTGACAGGCTTCTTCTGCAGCAGGACTCAAAAACCTGCAGATAAGATGATAAAACAAGTTCACTACTAAACTTAGTGCTAGCAAAATAGCAGCTAACTTTGTGTTATCTTTGATTATTTTTGATGCAACAGATTGCAATAATGAAACAATATTTCCATAAATAATCATATAAATAATAAGCATGATTTAATTAATTTTTTTCATCATATCTGACCTCAGTTTGAGTTTACACTCTGGATCCTTTAGAGAATCAAGAAGCTGCTTCACTCCTGATTGTCCAGGATCATTTCCTGTGAGTTCCAGCTCTATCAGGTGTGAAGGGTTTGATCTCAGAGCTGAAGCCAGAGCTTTATAACCTTCTTCAGTGATACTGCAGTTTGACATTCTAGAGGAAGACAAAAACAACCAAATATATTAACTACTCATTAATTAATATCAAAGTTTAATTACCAGGAGCCGGTTGCATGAAAGTCCTTAAGTATTTTGACTTAAGGGTATCCCTCAGGGGGGAAAAATTCCCTGAGGTAAGGGATTTCATTAAGAGTGTTGCAACAAAGTTCTTAACTGTCACCCTTACTTAAGTGTTTATATTAAGTGTTTCACTGTAGTTTCTGGCAACACACGGCAATGGGCGCTGCGGTTGCTATAGTTACTACATCTCACAATAAACAGAACGCAACAAAACAACCCCAGCTGTACAAATATATTTGTGTTATGGAGAATACCAAGAGCACAGAAAACATTAAACTGGACTGTGGTGAGACGGAGGATTTACTGAAGGTAAATCCGATACTCTCTCAATAATTGCGTATCAAAATGAGCGTGATTTTAATGATCATTACAATTGCACATATTTCAATAATTTAAAACGCGCCTATTTCGATCATTAAAAATGTGCCTTGGTTCTTCCTCTTCGGTTAACATAAAATCAGCCATTGCGTTTGAGTTTAAGATGACTTAAGGGAGCTTTTGGTCCCTTAAATGTATTAAGGTGAAATGGTTGACTTTGTAGCAACACTTAAGGGAACACTTAAATAATTAAGGAGATTGCTTAATGACAGCCTTAAGGTTCCTTAAGTTGACCCTTAGGTTTCTTAATTACAACCCAAGTTACACTAAGGCTTCCCTTAACCTTCTAACTAAGGGATTTCTTAGCTTAACGGCTTTCATGCATACCTGAGTATCTTTAGTGTGCATTGTGAATTTCCCAGAAGAGTGGAGATTTCTGTTACTCCAGGGTCTCCTAGTGGATTCTCACTCAGATCCAGCTCTATCAGGTTTGAGGGGTTTGAATTAAACGCTGCAGTCAGAGCAGCACAACCTTCTTTTGTAATACAGATACAATGAAACCTGTAGAACAGAGAACAAAAAAGAATACAATCTAAGCTATGCATACAACTTTTATTCACTAATGAGATTTTCATAAATCCCTTGTTTTTCAGCACTGTCCAGTTGTTCTATGTTTAGATTTACTTACTTAAGCTTTTCCAGTCTACATTGTTTGTTCTCAAACAGAGTCGAGAACATCTTCATTCCCGTGTTTCTGAGTTCAGTCCCAGTCAAATCCAGCTCTTTCAAATTTGAAGGGTTTGAATTTAAAGCTTCAGCCAGAACACGACAATCTTTGTCTGTGATATAGCTATTATTCAGACTGCATAAAGAGAAAACTAATTTTCAGTTTTAGACCCTACTTTTACTATTACATGTATTATACATGACAATGGATGGTGGTAACATTACAAAAGCACCATATGGTAATTCAATCATCAAATAAAAAAAAAAAACACTCAGCAGCAGGTTCAATACTAACTAAAATGTGACATCATAGTGGTAAAACTTACACCAGTATGTTCAGTTTACAGTGTTTATCCTGCAGTAGAGGAGCGAGCCGCTTCAAGTCTAGTTTATGTTTACTAAGATTCAGCTCTCTCAGAAGTAATGGGTTTTCATTCACAATTCCAGCCACATACTGACATGCTTCATATGCAGCAGGACCCAAAAATCTGCAGATGAGAAGGTGAAGCAAATTAAATTTGATTGAAAAAAACTTGGTGTAACAAGCAGACTGTGTTCTAAATAATGTTTCTGTAATTTATTTATTTGTATTTCATATATTTTTATTATTTCATCACGTCTCACCTCAACAGTGTCTTTAGTTGGCAGATCGGATCATGTCGTAAATCATTGAGCTCCTTCACTCCTGATTGTCCAGGATCATTTCCTGTGAGATCCAGCTCTATCAGGTGTGAAGGGTTTGATCTCAGAGCTGAAGCCAGAGCTTTATAACCTTCTTCAGTGATACTGCAGTCTGAGAGTCTAAATCAGGAATGAAAATAGTCCATTATGCTAATTAGTCCAAACAAACTGAAAAATTATTTTCAAGCCAAAGATCTTTAACTCTATCCTCGCCATTGTTGGAATTTCCCATAATTTATGAGACAACTCTTCCCTGCTATTGACAGAATTTTTGGGCTTCCTATGTTTTGTTCAAACTGTTTGCTTTTTGATTTGAAGTGATAAAAACAGAATGCATCATGCAGAATGCAATGATTTTTTTTTTTTTTTTTGGTTAAAAAGCAGAACCTCTGTTGTGTGATATTCACACAACAAAATATTCTAATTGCCATGAACATTTTGTGAAAATTATATTTAAAAAAATGTTGGCGGTGACTGGCAACTTTTTAAAAAAGGTGGCAGGGAAAGAATAAATATGAAGAAAGAAACATCAGCTCACCTGAGTATCTCCAGTGTACAGTTCTCTTTCAGTCCATCAGAGAGCAGCTTCACTCCTGAATCCTGCAGATTATTATTGCTCAGATCAAGTTCCTTCAGATTGCTGGAGTCTGAACTGAGAACTGAAGTGAGAGCTGAACAGCTTTCCTCTGTTACCACACATTTACTGAGCCTGAAAATAAACAGCTTGTCAATGTATTCACATTCTAAAATTTGCTGTAGTGGTAGTGCAGCTGTTATGTTTAATGAGTAGTGACAAGTGCTTTACTGCAGCTATAGGCAAAATGCTAATGCTATAATTTACAGTAACTATATTGCTGCCACTAATTTTCCAATCCACTTGTCTTTAATGCTCTCATGTCACATGTGTCTTGTCTCTCACATGTCTTATGATTGGCTAACATATAGCTAGTTGGGTTGGGTAATGCTTTCTGGCTCTAATTCCTTGTTTCTTTTAATTTAAGCTTTGCCACAAAACGTGTTTTTTCCACAATAAAGAAAAGGCAAAAAGCAGGTAAATTTTCATGGGGTGATCAAAACCACCATGATTACATTATAATTTATCATTAAACATCCTTATCGGTCAAACAAAAGATGTAAAATAAAGGGGACCTGTTATGCAAAAATCACTTTAATAAGGTGTTTAAACACAGTTGTGTGACTGCAGTGCAGTGTTAATTTTGACAGCAAATTTTGATTTAGTTTTAGTCATAGTCTTTTGACGAAAATGCCATTGATTACAACCCGCACTGAAGCAGTCGGAAGCCATGCTGCACAAGCCTGTAGAGCGCGCAAACGGTGCCGCGTTTTCTGAGAAGGGTATAACTGCAGCCTGGAGATCTCCAAATGGGAGAGGGAACTCCAAAACGAGGTGGGAGCTCCAAAATAGGGCGTGGCTTCCTCCAATTGACAGATAGGCACATGACACGCATGCGCAATTTTTTATCCTAATCCACTTCAGCGCAAACTCCGCCCCACAGCTGATTCTAAAGATTTTATTGGTCGTGTTATTCTTTATGGTTACGAGTCCGACTCTCTAACCGTTAGGCCACGACTTCCCCAAAGCGTTGTATTTGTGATAGCACAGTTATTTTTATTTTTATTTTTATCCTTGTCTGTGTAATTCATAAATGCGTATTTATTATGCACAGTACAATCAGATGACTGACTTTTAACAGGCTTGTACTTGCTAATAGTGGAATGTTTATTTGTAAAGGCCAGCACCCTTGAAGCTCTGCCCTCTTCTCCAGGAGCACCAGTCCATTTGCATTTAAAGGGACAAACACAAAAATGCAGCGTTTTGGCTCATACCTTAAAAGTGGCAATTTTAACAAGCTATAGAAAATTATCTGTAGGGAATTTTGAGCTAAAACTTCATTTACACACTCTGGAGACATCAGAGACTTATTTTACATCTTGTAAAAAGGGGCATAATAGGTCATCTTTAAGCATATTGCCCATGTTTCGGAACAAAGTAGATCATGCAGTGGAAAATTCGACAGTAATTATAATTTGCATTATTGTATAACAATTCATCATTTTTGCACAATTGTTAAAAATTATCTAGAACAATAATGGCATTTGTCTGTTGTCACAACTTACTTCAGTATCTCCAATTTACACGTCTCCAGTCCAATGCAGAGCTGCTTCACTCCTGAATCCAGTAGATTGTTATTGCTCATATTCAGCTCTATCAGATTGTTATCTGATCCGAGAGCTTTAGCCAAATTTGAACAGCTCTCATCTGTTAAGTCACAATCATTTAGCCTAGAAGAGAAAAAAAAACTGAATACAAAGTATTCTGAGTACTGAGTAAAAATATCATATCACCCAATTTAAATTAATGATTAAGATCTATAGAGATATCTTTTTTCAGATGCAAAAACATGACTTATATTACTTACAGAGCTCTTTTGGAGATTTTTAAAACTTCCAATAGCCTAAAGAGACACTCGTCTGATTTCTTGAACTTCTGAAGGTCAAATTCCTCCAGCTCTTCCTCTGATGTCAACAAAACGAAGGCCACAGCAGACCACTGGGCAGGAGAAAGATCACCAGATGAAAGACTTCCTTCTCTAAGTTGAGTCTGAATCTCGTTCACCAGAGTTTGGTCGTTCAGTTCATTCAGACAGTAGAACAGATTGATAGATCTCTCTGGAGACATCTTCTTATCTTCTAATTTCTGCTTGATGTACTGAACTATTTCCTTGTAGTTTTCGTCATTGCCATCTTGCTGTGTCAACAGACCTCGTAAGAGTGGACGATTGGTCTGGAGTGACAGACCGAGAAGGAAGCGAAGGAAAAGGTCCAGGTGTCCAGTTTCACTCTCGAGTGCCTTGTCCACTGCAATCTTGAGCAAATCAATCATGGTTTCATTTTTGTTTTCCTGTTCTGTAGACTCATGATGATCAAACACACATTTCCTTTTTGCTCTGCTCATTTCTATTTTGCTGCGTCAACAGACCCTGTAAGAGTCTCTGATTGGACTGGAGTGACAAACCAAGGAGGAATCGAAGAAAAAGATCCAGGTGTCCATTGTCACTCTCAAGTGCCTTGTCCACTGCAGTTTTGAGCAAATCAGGCATGGCTTCATTTTTGTTTTCCTGTACTGTAGAGTCTTGAAAAAACACACTTTTCTTGTTGATGTCTAGAAACAGATGTGCATAAAGGGCTGCAATAAACTCTTGAATGCTCAAGTGAACAAAGCAGAAAGTGGTACCAAGAATGATCCCTTTTTCCTCCTTAAACATCTGGGTACACATGCTTGAATACACTGATGCTTGGGAGGCATCAATACCACAGGATTCCAGATCTGTGTCATAAAAGAGCAGATTGTTTCTTTGCAGCTGATGAAATGCCAGTCTCCCCAGTGAAAGGATGGCATCTTTATCCCAGGAAACATCTGGTGTGTATTCTCCATCATATTTTCGTCTGCTCTGCAGGATCTGAAAGCGGAGAAAGTGTGTGTACATTTGTGTCAGAGTCTTGGGAGTGTCTTCATTATTTGATTCCTGCCGTGTTTTGGAGGCGTCATCAGCCTGACTGTTTTTCAGATCATTATTTCTTTTCTCCTCTAAAATGTTCTGGAGAACAGTGGCTGAAATCCAGCAGAAGACTGGGATGTAGCACATGATAAAAAGACTCTTTGATTGTTTAACATAATCAATGATTTCGTTGGCCAGATCCGCATCTGTGAATCTTTTTCTGAAGTACTCCTCCTTTTGTGCATCATTGAATCCTTGTACTTCTGTCACGCGGTTAATACATTCGGGAGGAATTTTAATGGCAGCTGCTGGTCTGGTGGTGATCCAGATGAGCGCAGAAGGAAGCAGATTTCCCTTGATGAGGTTTGTGAGGAGAACATCCAGAGATACTTGTGATGATACATCACGGCAAGTCTCATTACCCTCAAAGTTCAGAGGAAGACGGCATTCGTCCAAACCATCAAGGATGAACAGTAATTTAAATTTATCATTTCTTGCAAGGTTCAGTCCTTTTATCTCTGGGAAAAACTGACGTATAAGACTTGTCAAGCTTTGTGTTTCTTTCTCCTTTAAGTTCATTTCTCGAAATGCAAGAGGAAATATGAAAGTAACATCCTCATTTTCTTTACCGTCAGCCCAATCCACAATAAACTTTTGCACAGAGACTGATTTTCCGATGCCAGCAACTCCTTTTGTCAGCACAGTTCTGATCTCATTGTCTTGTTCAGGTGCTTCAAATAAATTTTTGCATTCAACTGGAATCTCTTGTGATTCATGTCGCCTGTCAGCAGCCTGAACTTGTCCTGCTTCATTTTGGATATTGACTTGTTTACTAACACTCAGAGTCATATAGAGATCCGTGTAGATGTTCTTCAGAAGCTTAGAGTGACCTTGTTTTGCAATTCCTTCAGATAGAGATTGGTGCTTCTTCTTCAGGTTTGATTTTAGTGGTCGCTGATGAATGAGGACCAGCTCATCTAACACACAAACAAGAACAAAAATACAGAAAGATATGCATCAAGATATGCACCATTTTATATTTCATAAGTGACAATGACAAATTGTTATGCCTATGAATCTCTTACCTTGTAGAGCATCTGCAGCCTCAACTTGTTCCATATCTCTCAGGAAGAAGAGTGTCATATCAAGAGCTGCTTCTTTGATATCACGCATTTTCTCTGTAAAGTCCTGCACAAAGTACTGTGTATTTTCTCTATTTAATATTTTCTTAAACTTTTCCAGCTCATTCTTCAGAAATACAATAATTTTTTTCTCAAGATCCTGAAAACAAATCAAGAAAAAATAAGTCCTACCTATACATTTAAAACATGTTTAAAATAAACAATTTATGTGTAGTACAAATTACAGGCAAGCAATGCACTCATGAATTTTCCCAGTATTGACAGTATAGACCAGTGGTCGGCAACAGGCTAACCAAAGAACCAAAACTGGCCCGCCAGCAATAATATCTGGCCCGTGCCCACAGCCAGATTATTTTGATTGCGGCTGGTTCTGAAATAGATCTGTCATGACAGCAACAGTTACTCACAATCACTTTGTCTTTAGTGATTTTGCCTTCAAAATAAAAGTACGAGAATGTTTTTGCAGCAGTTTCATTTTGAGATGAATTGAGAGCTTTTAATTTGAAAAGTTCTGAAAGACATTCAAAAGAGTCTGTGGATCGCTAGACACACCTCTAAAATAGCCATCATGAAATGTGTGTGGGTATGAAAAAACTAACAGTGAACCATTGAAACGTAAAAGTAGGCTATGTCAAATAATTATTACAATAAGTTAGGCTCCATTGTGTAACAAACAAATTAAAATGATACACATTTATTATTCACAATATGGAAAGAGGAAATAAAACACTGTTCGTTAAGAGCATGACTCAAATGCCATTAATGGGCTTATTCAAATCCTCTTTTATTTTTTGAGTTATTTTTATACATTCCGCATCTCCAACATATGTGTGTTTTAGCAAGGCGGCCTGTGTTGCAAGTTGGTGAATGAAGATACTTGCCAGGTTATGTGTCACTACTCTGCTTTATTAATTTATCCAGTATAAAACCCGGACACCGCCACATAAATGTGGCTTTTTGTTAATGACTGTCCTACTACAGGTTTTAACACAGAGTAACAGCTCACTACCAGTTACAAAAGACACTGTAGCAGTCTGTCACAGGCAATTCTAGTTGAATTTTTCATCAATTAATTTCTTAAATTATCCTTTGACTATGTTCTTGCTCGCCATCTAGTGGCGCAAGTTTTTTTTTTTTGGTCCGATGCCAACCTTACTTGCCGACCCCTGGTATAGCAAGGTAAAGTGGTGATGAATACAAACATACAAACAGAGATACCAAGAACCTTGTATGGATCAAATCCAATAATAAACATGATTTTTGGTATCTCGGTTAATGTGCTTTTGTATTCACTGCCATTAATTTGTCACACGGCTGAAACATCTCTACTATTTTATTTTTGAGTTGAGATTTAAAAAAATGAGGGATTGTTAGAACATCAGTTAACAAGAGAAAAAAATCTATTTATATTAAGTTAAGTTTTAAAAAGTATTTAAATAAAAATTAAATACAATTTGTTCAATAATCTATTAGTATGTTAATTAATTAATTTAATTAATGAATTAATTAATTATAGCATTTATGAACTTTTACTTGCCTTGAAGATCCAGAGGAGATTTTCTCTGAAATTCTTGCGGTTGCGGTAATTCTTGTAGTTTGATTCTGATTTCTCAAACTGAACCCTGGTAGCAAAATAAAGGTGGATTTAAAAAATAAAAAAAAACATACTATTGGCTCAGTTACCCAAGAGGGTCTGGCTGCAGCCTTGCAGTTGCACTCTCAGACTTGCATTCTCAGGCTTGCACTCTCAGACACTTGCGCTTCCGCTAGCGAAGTCACTTGCAGTCTTTATTTTTTATTTTGTTCTATTTTTTTATTATTTTTTGTTTGAATCTCTCAACATTTTACAAAAGTAGTCAGGTGGTGAAGACAAGAAAAAAGAAACTAAATTACAATGTCACTTGCAATCGCCACTTGCGCTCTCCGATACCTGTGACGTCACTTGAAATCCACACAAATCGTGCGTGTTGCCAATGGAGACAAGACGCTGTGGTGGTGATTAAACGACTAAAACTAAATTAGTACTATAATGTACAGGGTCCTGCAAGAAAAAGACAAGACCCACAAATCCGTGACCAGAACAGCAGAATATAAACGCAATGCACAAAGTCTCTGGTTAAGCGGTTTCCTCTTGTAGAAAAACATAAACACTGTGCACTATCCTCTTGGTTGTAATAACAGACTTTAATACAGTTGCCAGTGGTGGAGGTAACGAATTACAACTACTCACGTTACTGTAATTAAGTATTTTTTTCGGGTACTTGTACTTTGAGTATATTTTTAAAGCTGTACTTTTACTTGTACTGAAGTACAAATTAAGCAAAATAATCTACTTCTTTACTTTTAAATCATAGTTCGTTACGGAGTACGCCCACAATTTGAATTAATATTCAAACCTTTGACGGCACTTCAGTAGCCAATAAAGTTTACTCAAAGTTTGGAGAAGCAAACTACATGGTAGTGTTATCATAAATATCTATATTTTGATACCGATACTGAAATATCTGACACGGTTCCATTACTCATTTTCCACAGTTTCTCTCTTTCCTCTCCGACAGTGAGTTTGACACGCATCCGCCTCCTGACAAATACAGAGTCTGAATGTCCGCGCGGGATTACAGGTATTCCGCATAATTTTAATCATTCTCACGCAAATGTGGCGAGCGCTTTATTGTAACATGAGAACACAGTCATGTAATCGCAGAAAACCGGATGCGAGCTCTTAAATAGGTCTAACTTGAAATGAACTGCCTGTCCTTTCACTCCGATATTGCTTGTGCGCAGATTGTGTGCAATCGCGATCTCTCCGTGCTTTTAAAGTAGAAATTATTTCTCTTTGTTCTCTTTGCTCTTTGCTCCTTCAGAATATATCCACGCCTGACCGATGAAAATCCTACTGGAAATTTTATTGGCTGTAAGTGAAATGCACCAGAAAGTCTTTCAACAATCAACGATGGAACTTTAACTTCTTTACAATGTAAGTTTATGCTAGAAATGTTTTGGAATGGGATATTTGTCTGATTT